AGGTTTGAATGAAAGGGGGGTTGTTACTTTCAGCAAAAGTTGCAAAGCGATTTCTACGTTCGTTTAGTTCGCCTTTTCCGTATCTGCTGATAAATATCTCACTATCCCTTACAATTTGCCTCAAGATTGCATTTGAAGCTTCCTTGAAAAATTTTGCAAGCGTAATTTCTTTCTCTCAAATGTGTCCTTAAACTCTTCGTAGAATTTCTCTACCTCTCCATCTTCAGCTTGTTTGGTAGTACTGTAAAAGTGTCATAGGAGGTGACTAGTCGTAGATAGTCCCGTTTGCATATGAAGCCAACGCCGCCGGTTCTCTAGTCTTCTCAAGGAACAAGTGGTCTCCTCAGCAAATCTTTGGATCTCGCGTGTCGAACAACATCCTCCTAAATCCCATTCGTTTCCAAGATATAGATATGGGAAAATGCATCGGTCGATTGCATATTCGCATTATAGCTGGCCAAGAAGATCAGGGTCTGTTGACCAATCGCATCCAGTGGTTTATTGTGTCGTACTTGCGTTCAGGCAGATAGAACAGCCTGCACATATTTTGCCAATTTCCGTTTGTCCCTGAACGTTTTTGGCCAACAACTGTTAGACAGCTCACTCGGAGTGTGCCAACCGTTCTCAACTATCGCCAACGTCTCTCCAACTTGTATCCAAACTAACTGAATGACCGATGGAACCCCTTTGTGAAGATTTTGTAACGGAAAGATATAGCTGGCGAATCGGGAGGGGGGGGGCAGCACCACCGCTCCAACCCTTAACCTTCCGGAGCACGTACCACTTCCAGCTCTCCCCATCCCTCTCACGCCCCGTAACAAAATGATACGTAATGATGAATGAAATTCGTAATTCGTGCACGGGATGTTAATGCGGACATGAAAACGTTTTTTTTCTCAGTCAGGGAATATTTCCTTTTGGCATGATAGCCTCACTTCCTATAAGATGGTTTGTTAATGGCTGATTACCACCGGCGTCATTGGCGGGAACACTAAGGTTCATAATGCATTTTGATGACTTAACGACTGATGAAGTCACGCTTCACACTGATTTTCCGTTTGCCGAGTTTCTGCGACGTAGAAGAAGAGGTTAGACTTGTGTTGAGCTGTCCCCCGTTGCGAAAATAATATCTTATTCAGGAAGCGGTGATCAAAAGGTCGGCAATTTGAAGTACGAACGAAAGATGTTTATGCGAGGAAACTGAAAGCAAACGCTGACCCCTCACTGTGACTTATTATCGCTTCGTTGAGCAACAGTCAAATGACAACCACGCTGTGCGTAAAAAGCGACGTTCTCCCAGAACGGCTGCTTAAACGAGGCTCTGTTGTGCTCTGCTGTGCTGTTAGAAACAGGAAACTCTCCGTTGCGCCTTTTGAACGAGGTGCGCGATGGCGGACGACGAGGCAAGCAGGTCACTGCACTGAGCACTCAGCCAAAGGCACAAAAACAATCATGGAAAATTTGCGTGTCTGAATTTGTAATTTACGTGCGTGCACGATGGCCGTAAGGTCACTGCCAATTACCCTGCTCAAAATACCGTTGAAGTTTGATTTGCTGAAATGGTGTGGCGAAACCTCAATTCATTCATTTTCAAACTTGGTGATTTTTTTCTGGTAGCAGACAGACTAAAAATGAAAAGTATTGCTGATTAGAAAATGGAGCTGTTACTTCCCATGGCTAAGTTTGCAACTTTTAAACTTACAGCCGGTCTAGCTGTTTGAGGAATTAACAGCGGCAAATATATGGTAAATACCGCTGACCGGTTTTTACCGTTTCGCTGATCATGAAATTAGAAGACGCATATACTTCCAGTCACCCATACCACAACGTTGGAATGAGTTTGAAAGTAGTACATTAAGGAATGTCAGCTTATAATACAGTACGAGTTAGTATTTTAATTTTTGATCCCGGATATACTCGGCATAAGCGCACAATATTTTCAATTCCTATCACCTACGGAAACTATTTAAGCAAGTCACGCCTCCTTGATGTTTAAATATTGCATCACATATTGGATGCAGGACCACATCCATGAATTGAGCTCAATAAATACGGTCCTGTATCCGATGCACCGCAGATAGTCAAATGCTATAAAGAAGTAGCCTGCTTTAACGTTCCCCCTAGGCGAATGAAAACAAAGGGGGTTCGGTTACGTCGAGTAAATTCAGAAATTGAAATTTTGTGATAACCGACAGAATTGGAAAACGAATTTGCTTGCTACTCCAAAAGGTTGTGTTTATGATTTGATATTACACTGGAATATTGTTTTTTGGAAAGATCCCCAGAGCCTAAAGACCGCAATTTGATGAAAGCAGCGAAACGTAAAACACTGCATTTTATAAATATGCTATTAAATTTGTCTTTGATCAGGTCTCGTGCACAAAGAGGTTTTACGTCGATCGATTCATTGTATAAGTGTAAAGAAGAAGTGCAAGGTTGAAGAAAGGAGCTGGCGAAATACAATAAAAGTCAGGTAATCAAGATTTTGCTCTTTGAATAGAGTCGTAATACATCATCAAGCGTAAGAATTCATTGTGTACAGGCAGATATGGAACAAAAGGACTTAACAAACTAACCAATGACCGGAACATCAGTCTTCAGGCTAAACATAAGACTACATTTTGCTGTTTATCCAGAGAGTTACTCGAGTTCTTTACAATTTCCACAAGTGGAACGATTCTGCTACGTGAAGTCTGCCTTATTCACAATTTCCAACACATTTTTCATGAGGCACCTGTTATTGCATCATACATAAGAGATATTCCTCTGCTTCTATGCTGTTACCATTTGTTGCCACATGGCGTCGTGATCGACGTCTGCACATCAACCTGGAAGGAGTCAAAAACAACCGTGTTGTTCAAGAAGGGCATGAAGAAAGATCTGAAGAACTGCCGCCCAATCTGTCGTTCTAGTTCCTTCGTTAGAACAGCTGTCTTTATGCCGTACAACAGCCGTAACCTGAAAAAGGTACGGTGCGAACGAATTTTTATGGAAACAATTATTTTGTCAGTCCAAATATACGGTATTGCAACCCAACACAAAGAATTTGGCTCACATTGACCAGCAGGGTAGAACAGAGATGATCAGAACAAAAGAGGATTGAGAAAATGGAGTTGAACCAATTCATTTGTGGCACTTTAATATTTTCTGGATCTTCTAGAATCCTAGCTACTGTTGACAGAGATGACCACAAAGTTAGATGCGGAAATATACTCTGACCTAGTATGCTAATGCAGAATGGCATGGATCAAACACTGTGAAAATTTGGATGGAAAAGGAATTGCCGATAGTAACATTTTTGGATATGCTGACAAACTAATTATTGGTGTGCGTGATAAGCCCTGACAGAGATATGCCGCCATCTATTGAGGGAAGTTTCAGAGATTACCTTAAAGGCAGAAAATCACAAAAGAGGAGGGCTAAGAAGATGACTTCAAAAGAGTATGTGTGAAGTTGGTAAGAAGTGCAACTCGACGAATGTTTTTGCTGTACGATGGGCAACAGGTAACCATTTTACACAGATAGAAGTTCGAACATTTTTCACTCGCATTACCCCAACTTGCGGAAAACTTGCTTGTGAAAATTCGTGCAAGGGAAATCAAAAACAACAAGATTCCAAGATATTCGGCATGCTTTGACGACCCTCAACCATTTTGACATGCACGTGCAATTATTCGAGTGAAACTTCAGAAAAATCAGATTTTCGTGGCGTTAATAAATTTGAAAATCTCAGTATGGTGTGATGTCGTTTAGATGAAGCGCTCAAAGGCGGAATAATTATTCATACTCGTGCTGGGTGACTGATTTTGAACCCAGTTGGTGGCAGTTCTCAGTGATCCATAAATGTTGCATTGTCGGTAAGCTTAATAGAAAAGTTGCAGGCGCAGTGCAATCGTTTGTGATGGTTTTGAACAGCAGGGAGGAAAGAGCGGAACCCTGCACCACACGGAGAATGAGACCGTCAAGTGCTCATAGGCATAAAATAAATGGTATGTAATACAACGAATGTAATCCGGAGAGTAAATATACTCTTTTGCAGCTTATATACTTAATATTTTCCTCACGGACACCGCTCGCGTCTTTTACCATGTCTGCCTGCTACATGTTACAGTATACTTGTTACCGTCCAGATTGGTAATTCGTCTATACCGCTAGAGACTGAAACTGATTTGCGGTTCAGTCCAAGCCGGTAATGCAATGGGTTTGCTAGATTATCACCAAGCTTGCTACTATGCATAAGCTTCGGCATTCTTTCTTGCACATTTAAGCTTACATAGCGACTTTGGTGTTGGCAGAGGCTAGGCAACAATGCAGTAAAACCACATTGCCAGTCCTGACTGAAAGTCAAATAAGTTTCACTTTATGCTGGTATCAACGGATTGTTACTCTGGAAGGTAATACATCCACTGAACTTTATGACAAGTGTGTAATTGGAGCGTCGACACGTGTTCTCAAATTTTTCGATAATCGTAGACTGCTATACCTTAACATGTTTGGGATGCAATAACTGTATCGCGTTTCTCCATTCGTTTCGTGTACTACTATTGTTCTGTTTGTTTTGCTTCTGTACTTGCTCAATTTCTCAGAACCGTTTCCCTCTCAGCGTGTGATATTAATAGGTGGGGTAATTTAGTTTGAGATAAGTGCGATATTTTCGCACTTCCAGTTGTCTCGACTGTGATCGTACATCCTGTTCCGGTGCTGTTTAATATTAATATTAACGTTTTGTCATTTATTTAATTTCCTGTAAAATTATTTACGTCTGATGTATTGAAGCATGACTTTTACGTGATCCCGTTTAAATGGTCAAACGTCGCAGCTTCAATCAATTCCGCGGGTGCGGCAGGTCAACCGACCGCTCTGTGGTGGTCTCCTATTGGACGTTTTCGGTCGCAGTCGGTGGTGTCGATGCTAAGCACCAAAGGAAACGATACGAACAATGAAGACGGGGCGGCGAGAATTAATACGTCTTACGCGGCAATAAACTTCTGCGACGGTGTTCATTTCCTCAGCGCTAGTTGGCCGGTGATTATGGGTGTCGTCGATGGGGCAATTACGCGCAAAGCGCTATTGAACACACTTAAATGACGGTCGTAAAATGGAGCTGAGCTTCGCGCGCTCGCTCGCTGCTTCTCATTATCACCTGGCCCCATTACGCCTGGCCATTCAACGCCTGCGTCGTCGAAAGTGTGTGGCCTGGATCGCGCAATCCGGGGGCCATAAGCGCCTACGACACTTGCAGGTGCCGGGCCCGGCCGCCGGTCGTTCGCTGGTCTATTCACGCCACGACGGCTGAACACAATCGCCTAACCACTTAATGCGTTTCCTTTCAGACACCTCTTCTGACAGCCGCAATCAAACGAGCCGCACCTGGTCTGTTCCGTTCGTGCGTGACCGTTTGTCCAGCGGGCGGGCGTTTGACCCTGACGGAAGAATGCCCGCGTCCACGGTTTGCCTTTTCACCACCGCAACGACAGTCATTATAGCTGAGGTGGTGGTGTTTTCGTGGCACGACCGCCACCGACACGTTACTTGCCTACCGAACACCCTGACGACCATGCTGTGTGCCCCGGGGACGAGTGCACTACTGTCTCTGATAATTTATTTATATACCGCCTGTAACGTTAGTCGCGACAGTGCGAAATGGAAATTTATTCCTGAGAACTCCATTTGAAAGCCAGCTCGTTCTTGTTGGTAGCGTGTGGTCCATACCATATTCTGATTGGCTTCGGTTCTGTCTGTAGGCTTGAAATAATTGATCAGCAAGTACATATATCGGATGGAAATTCCATTTTTCTTAAAATAAACGAT